GCCATAGAAAGTTTCTTTTCCGGTCCTGTCTGTTTGGTGTTCTATATACTTCTTGTGTTTGTATGGGCATGTCTTTCTTTAATTTTGGAAAATTTTCTTTTATGATCCTGTTGAAGATATGGTCCATATCATTATTCTGAGATTCTTCTCCTTCTTGTATACCTATGATTCATAAGTTTGGTCTGTTTATGGTGTCATACAAATCCTGGATTCTTCTCCTTCTTGTATACCTATGATTCATAAGTTTGGTCTGTTTATGGTATACAAATCCTGGATATTCCGTTTCTTGTGTTTTCTTAAATTTTTCATAATCTTTGCTTGAGTGGTGTAGTCTACTTTATCCTTCAGTCTTGATATTCTATTTTCCATTTCATTCATCCCATTTTATTGGTGAGACTTTCTCCTGTCATTTCTAACGGGCTTAGTCAGTGTTTCAATTCCTTCTTCATTTCAGCCTGCATATTCTTCAATATTTCTAACTCTTTTCTGAATTCATTCAGAAGTTTATCTCTATCTTCTTTCAGTTCTTTGATTTCTTTGTCTCTGTGTTCTTTAAATTCATTGAATTCTTTTGTCATGTTTATAACCTTTCTTTTGAGTTCTATGTCCTGCATTATCTCTAGGGGGTTCTCAGTGTACTCCTCTAGAGAGACTATTGGTATTTGGTGATGATATGTTATTTTGGTTTTCATGTTACTATTTTCTTCTCTGTGACTTTGGTATGTGGATTTATTTTGTACTTTCTGATTCTTGTGTGAGACTCAAGCCTTCCTTTGTTGAGTTTAGGTCTGCTTCTTTCTGTAAACTTTATGTGCCTTTGTAGTTTACTTGTTGGGCATGAAAAACTGGTTGGTCTAGGCTTCAAGTTCTCTCTTTTGGTTTTATAGTGGCCAAATTGCTTTCATCATTCTATTCAGGAGTTCCCACAGAGGCCCAAATCAGATGAAGATCAGATGTTCTCAGGCTTTCTCCTAAGGTCTGGATCCCAGGAAAGATGTTTGCCTCAGGAATTTGGGGGCTGAGCTGGGCTGGCCTGGGAGCAGATCCCAGGAAAGATGCTGCTCCCAGGAAGCTGGTGGCTATGCTACTCAGGGATGCAAAGGGGGGTGGGGGGTGGGAAGAGGCCCCGATGGCTCCTGGGGACTACCTGGAGGAATTGGGTTATTGTGGATGCAAAGGATCAGGAAGCAGTGGGGATTCTGGACCAAGAGGTCAGTCCAGAGTTCTCAGTTGCCAGGACAAGAAATGGATCAGTACCCAGGCTAGAAAGAGAGATGGGGTCGGGGAGCTGGGAGGGTCAATGAGGCTGGGGGAGTCAAGGCGCGGTTGTCGCTGTCTGTGGGTCTTACCCAGGAAAGATGCTGGCACCAGGAAGCTGGTGGCTGTGCTGCCCAGGGATCCAAAGGGAGGTGGGAGGTCCTATTTTTATTGTTGACCTTTTTGCTTCTAATTTTTAAACAAGATTTTATTTATTTTTATTTTATATGTATGAATGTTTTGTGTACATGTATGTAAGTGCACCTTTTATCCCTGGTGTCCACAGACAACAGACACCCTGACGGAAGAGGGCATCAGATCCTCTGGAACTCGAGTTAAGGATGTTTAAGCAGCCACCTGGAAACTAGGAACAGAACCTGTGTCCTCTGGAAGAGCATGTCAGTGCTGGTATCTGTTGAGCCATCTCTCCAGCCCTGGCCTTATTTCTTGAGTGGAGTCCCATTCAGGAAGTCCTTAGCTATGCATGCTACAGCATCAACTCACTAACTTACTTTTCACTTTTTTTTTTTTTTTTTAAGACAGCCATTTACTAAATTGCCCAGGTTTTCCTTTAGCTTACTTTGTAGCTTGAGCAAGCCTTGAACTTGAGATTCTTCTGTCTTACCTTCCTGTATACTGCAAGACTGTTAGTAAAGGCACTTAGGCATAGCTCCCTCCTGTCCCCCAATTTCTTAAGATAGTGCTTTTTGAATGTGACATATCCTCAGTACACTCTTTGTTTTAGATACTGGGTTCCCAGTTGGTGCATTGTTTCTGAAAATTGTAGAACTTTCAGAAGGGAAGAATTTTATGATGGAAGTGAGTCACTAGGGATGAACCTTAAGGATTTTTATAGCCCAACCCCATTTCCTGCCTGCTCTCTGTTTCTTAACTACAGGTACAATGTGATCAGCCACCTCTAGCTTCTGCCACTGTGCCTTCCCTGACATCCCTTCTTAAACTGAAAACCAAAATAAATCCTCACATACATTGCTTTTGCTAGGCATTTTCATAATGATGAGAAAAACATATAATATAGATAATTGCTCTAAAAATAGAATTATTTCTTCCTTCATTTCTTCCTCTCTCTCTTTTTTTTATTCTTTGTAGGCTGGGAGGTAAATGAATAGAGTAACAATTTCTACCCAATAGCTTTCCAAGCCCATTTCAATGTCCCAAAGTTTAATTACCAGAACAGGGGACCTGCCTGCACTGAACCCAACACTTTGGATACTTTCTTCATTTCTAATAGAGGCACAACATTTGTATATTTAAAACATTGATCTAGTTGCATCACACAACTTAATCTGCTATATTTTACTGTAATTTAGTGAAATTTTTTCGAATTACCTTGTTATTGTTTTTTATTTTGTTTTTTGTTTTGTTTTGATTTTTTGTTTTGTTTTGTTTTTTGAGACAAAGTCTCCCTGTATCCACAGTTGGCCTGGAACTCACTGTGTAGACCAGGCTGGCCTTGATCTGACAGAGATTTATGACCACACCCAGTTTTCTTTCTCCTCCTCCTCCTCCTCCTCTTCCTTCCCCTTCTTCTTCTTTGTATCTTGCTGTTGTTTTCAAAATTTTTATTTATTATTTTTATGTATATGAGTGTATTGCCTGCATGTATGTAAGCCCGCTCATGTTATGCAATGTCTGAGGAGGTCAGAAGAGGATGTTGGATCCCCTGGTACTGGAGTTACAGATGGTTGTTAGCCACCATGTGGGTGCTGGGAATTGAACCCAGGTTCTCTGCAAGAGCAGCCCATGCTCTTAACCACTGAATTATTTCTCCAGCCCCTCCTTGCTGTTTTTTTAAATCTACTGATTATTCAGATTTGTAGAACTGAATTTCCAAATATTTTAGATTTCCCTAAGTATTGCTTCACACTGATTATCTATTTCCATTTTTCTCTTGGTTAGATATACACTATAATTTCAATTTGTCAAAGTTTATTTTATGGCCAAGTATATTTAGCTCATTTTTTTTTGTTACTATTACCAAAAATATGAGACTATATTCTATAAAGGCAACTTTTTATTTAACTTACAGTTTTAGAGGCCTCAAAACCTATTAATTAGGCCTCTGGTAGAGAGAGGTTAAGTGCCACCATTTCAGAGAAATGAAAAAGAAGCAGTGGCCTGCAGAGGGCCAAGTGTGTCGGGTGGCTTTTCTTTACACCAGTGCACCCTTTCGACACACATTCACTCCTTTAGAGGGCAGCACCCCTAGTAACTTAATTACTTCTATACTAGTCCATCCCTTTTTTAAAAAAAATTATTTATTATTTTTATTTTATGTGTATGAATGTGTTACCTGCATGTGTGTAAGTGCACCCATATAGTACAATGCCTGAGGAGGTTAGAAGAGGGAGTCAGATTCCCCTGAAACTGGAGTTATGGATGATTGTTAGCTACCATATGGATACTGAGAATAGAATCCAGGTCCTCTGTAAGAGCAGCCAGTGTTCTTAACCACTGGGCTATCTCTCCAGCTTCACTAGTCCACCTCTCCAACCCCACTAGTCCACCTGTTAAAGGCTCTACCACTTCAACACCCCACACTTAGGGCTAAGCTTATACATATGGATCTTCAGGGGACAAACTTGAACCTAATCTTACCATAAAACCTGAGAGTGTCATCTTCTTTAGGAAACATACCATGTGCACCTTAAGAAAACAATTCTTTCACTGTTAGTTACAGAATCTATAAATTATCAAGGTGATTGATAGTGTTAATCAATTAATCCAGGTCTTTATTGAGTTTTGTGTATTTTTTTAAGACAAGGTCTTGTTATATAGCTCTGACTGGTCTGATAATTGCTATGTAGACTAGACTGACCTTGAACATGTAGCAACCTCTCCCAACCTGGGATTATGGTGTATGCCACTGTGCCTGGCTTGTGTAGTGGATCAATAGCATTAGTTGTTGAGATAGATGTTAAAACTCCTATGTCTGATGTAAACGATGTAATTATATAATCAGCTGTTTCTCCTTAATTTTCTCAATTTTTGCTTCATGTATATATTGTTTGGTTGGTTGTTTTCTTTTTGAGACATGGTCTCCCTGTAGCCCCAGTTGATCTGGAGCTCACTATGTAGATCACCCTAGGCTGGCCTCCATTGTACACTGATTTACCTATCTCTACCTCCCAAGTGCTGGGATTAAAGGTGTGCACCACCATGTCTGGCTTGATTCTTTTATTTTGAGGTACAGCAATTAGAGGCAAACATATTTGTGTTTGTTAGCTATTCCCATAAACTAACCTTTTGATAATGAAATACAGTTCTTCTTTTTAAAGCATTTATTATTTATTTATTTATTTATTTAATGTATGTATGTAAGTGCACCTGTGTCCTGCAATGTCTATGGAGGACAGAAGAGGGCTTCAGATCCCCTGGAACTGAACAATGGACAGTTGTTAGCTTCCTGGATCTTCTGCAAGAACAGCCAGTGTTCTTAACTGCTGAGCCGTCTCTCCAGACCAATTTTATTATTTTTATTTTTATTGTTATATTAGTGGTTTTGTGTGCATGTATGTAAGTGCACCTGTAAGTGTCCATGGAGGCCAGAATAGAGTGCCAGGTCCCTGGGAACTGGAGTTATAGACAATTGTTAGCTGCTTGTGGGTGCTGGGAACTAAACCAGGGTCCTTTGGAAAAACAACCAGTGCTCGTAGTTGCTGAGCCATCTCGCCAGCCTCTGAAATACATTTCTTAATCTCTACTGATGCTTCTTTCTCAAAGTCTTTTTATTTATTTATTTTCATTATTTATTAGGCCTGCTGTATGTAAATACACCCATATAGTGCAATGCCTGAGGAGGTCAGAAGAGGGCATTGGATTCCCTGGAACTAAAGTTACGAATGGTTGTTAGCCATTATATGGATGCTGGGATTCAAATCCAGGTCTTCTGCAAGTGCTCTTAACCAGTGCTCTTAACCACTGTGCCATCTCTTCAGCCCCTTCAAAGTCTTATTTTACTTGATAAAAATACAGCCACTTTGGGCTTGGGAGATTCAGTTGACAAAATTCTTGCTAAGCACTCCAAAAGACCCAAGTTGGGATCCCTAACACCCAAATAAAAGTCAGGTGTGGCAGCACACATTCGTAATCCCAGAACTGGGGAGCTGGAGACAGGACAATCCCTGGGGTTACTGGCCAGCCAGTCTAACCAACTGGCAGGTTCCAGATTCATTGAGAGAGTATGCCCTACAAATATTTGAACTGGGCGTGGTGACACACTTTTTTTTATATGGAATGCTTCACCAATTTGTGCGTCATCATGCGCAGGCGCTATGCTGATCTTCTCTGTATCGTTCCAATTTTAGTACATGTGCTGTCAAAGCAAGCACAGTGGTACACATCTTTAATCCCAGCACTCAGGAAGCAGAGGCAGGCAGATCTCTGTGAGATCAAGTCCAGCCTAGTCTACATAGTGAGTAGTGAGTAGTAGGAGGAGAAAAATCAAGGAAGACACCTAACATCAACTTCTGACCTCCACAGTCCTACAGTACAGTACACATAGTCAGGCACATCACGCATACTCATATACATTCACATACACATGTGCATGCACACATACAAATACAGACACTTCAACCTTCTATTGTGAACTAATTACGTAGTACATAGTTTTCCATCTATCTGCTTGTACTTAGCCTGTCTATGACTGGGGATGTAGCTCATGGTAAAATGCTTGCTTACACATACATGAGACCCTAGATTCACTCCCCAGTACCAAACAAAAAAACAAACAAACAAATCTTAGCCTATCTTGTAAAAATGGAGACAGTAAAATGAATTACCATAAGTTTTGCTATATTAAGCATATGGAAAAAATCTTTTAATTGGGATTTTTTTTTTTTTTTTGTCTTTTTTGAGACAGGGTCTCCTTGTAGCCCCAGCTGTCCTGGAACTCACTATGTAGACCAGGCTGGCCTCGAACTCACAAAGATCCGCCTGCCTCTGCCTCCCAAGTGCTGGGATTAAAGGCGTGCGCCACCACGCCCGGCTTAATTGGGATTTTTATTAGCATGTATTATCATTATTGATAAAGATAGGTTTAGACAGGTCACTTTATTTCAAGTTTTTATTCGGCTCCTTGGTTTTCCAACATTGTTTCCCTTTATTGTCTTTTTATTATTTGAATATTTAAAGTAACTGTATCTTAATATTTCTGTTGATATTTCATTTTTTTTGGCTTTTTTTTTTTTGGTATTTTTGAGACAGGGTCTCCCTGTAGCCCCAGCTGGCCTGAAACTCACTATTGTAGAGTGGGCTGGCTTTCAACTCACAGAGATCCACCTTCTGCCTCCTGAGTGCTGGGATTAAAGGCATGCGCTGGGATTCACTGCTGAACCACCTCTGCAGTCTCCTGTCTCAACATTTTTAAAGTCCACCTACACTTAATATTACAGCACTTTGGGGCTCTGAGGTTAAGAGCACTGCCTGATCTTGCGGAGGACTTGGGTTCTATTCCCACCACCCACATGGCGGTTAACAACCATCTATAACCCCTGATCCAGGGGAGTCTGATAACCCTTTTCTGACCTCAGGCATTGCATGACTCGGGTGCACTTACACACCTTCAGACAATACACTCATACGAACAAAATTAAAATAAATATAAAAAATTATAGCACATCACGTAGACTATAGTTTCTAAAGTATATGATTCTATAAAAAAATCAAGAGCCCAAGTATATTATAAGTGCCATCCCACAGTCATAATTGTAATTTAAATAATTATTTCATGATTTAAAAAAAACTAATGAGCTGGGCCTGGTGGTGCACACCTATATATATATATATATTTCTGGTTGTTTGTTCTTTGTTTCTGGTTTCTTGAGACAAGGTCTCCCTGTAGTCACAGCTAGCCTGGAGTTCACTATGTAGACCAGGCTGGCCTTGAACTCATAGACACCTACTTGCCTCTGCTGGGATTAAAGGCATGTGCCACTACACCTGGTGGCTATGCTTATCATGCTAATCTTTAAACTTTGTATATATATATTTCTGGTTGTTTGTTCTTTGTTTCTGGTTTCTTGAGACAAGGTCTCCCTGTAGTCACAGCTAGCCTGGAGTTCACTATGTAGACCAGGCTGGCCTTGAACTCATAGACACCTACTTGCCTCTGCTGGGATTAAAGGCATGTGCCACTACACCTGGTGGCTATGCTTATCATGCTAATCTTTAAACTTTGAAATTAACAATAAAACATTCCAGGAAGTTAATAGTCAGAATTATACTTCCACAGTAGATACTGTTCTACCACAGTCTTATATGAATTTGCTGTTGGAAATGGGCGAACTTTGCATATGTAAGCTCTTATTCTTAACAGCTAATTGATTTACTTGAGAAACCAAACCGGGGTAAAGAGTGACAACTTCGAAGTATGCAGTTTCACTTGTGTATGTTTTACACCTTCCATTGGCAGACAGGGACCACAGTGATGAAGCAGCTGCCACCATGGCATAATGAAAAACATTGTTACCATTCAAACCTTGGCCTAACCAAAAGTTTTTACTGGTCCTTGGAGCTCCATTAATTTTTATTTTATTCTTATTTTTTATTTTGGGTCTTTTTGAGACAGGGTCTCCCTATTGCCCCAGCTGGCCTAGAATTCACTATGTAGACCAAGCTGGCCTTGAACTCACAGAGATCCACCCACCTCTGCCTCTCGAGTGCTAGAATTAAAGGCATGCGCCACTATACCTGACTCCCACTAGCTTTTTAGTAGATAAATTGGTCTGGAATGGTAAAACCGTATTTGCAGAAAATGATGCATAATTGATGAACTTATTTCATTTACTATTATTTCATTTATTATTATTTTGGCTTTTTGAGGCAAGTCTCATTAGCCACTCTCACCACTGACTATATTCCTGAATTCCCAGTCCTCCTGGCTCCATTTCCTCAGTTCTGTGATCACAGACCTAGGTGAATTTAAATGCAAATGACTGGACTCCACAATACGTATGCTACAACTAAGTCTTGGGAGAGAGATCTGTGTTCTCTCTCTCTCTCTCTCTCTCTCTCTCTCTCTCTCTCTCTCTCTCTCTCATTATTTTGTGTGTGCACACACGTGTGCTCATGCCACCACCCACTGTGTAGCAGTTAGAGGATAACTTTGTGGAGTCAGTTCTCTCCTTTCCTATTTATGTGAGTTCAAGCAGCTAAATTCAGGTATTCTTACCCGCTGAGCCACTCTTGAGTTCCACAGAGGCTTTTCTGTCTGTGTTTTAACTTAGCTGTTAGAACGCCAGAGTGCCATGTTACTACGCCAATGTTGTTAATTACCTGAACATGGACTGGAGAGATGGCTCAGTAGTTAAGAGCACTCTGTTCTTGTAGGGGACTCAGGTTCAGTTCTCAGAACCCGCATGGTGAGAAACAACTCTCCATAACTCCAGTTCCAGGGGTCTAACGCCTTCTTCTGACCTCCTTGGGCATTGAAGGACTCGGGAGCACTTAAACACATGCAGATAATACACTCATATACATAAAATTTTTAAAAAAGTAAAATATTAAAAAAAAATTACCTGAACAAATAGCCTCTTAGTTTTTTAAAAAATGTGTTTTTGTTAAATTTTTGTGTATTTTATACAGAATATCTCAAAGAATCTTAATAATCTTTATACCTCTGTCCCCACTGGACTCCATATACTCTGTCATCCATATTAAGGCCCAACACACAGACATTGTCTACGAATTACCCAGGCCTAAGCAACACATCTACAATGCAAGCTCTACATCTAAGGTACATGGAACAGAGAACAGTGGAAATGAAGACAACACTAATGAATCTCTCAGTTCTCATTAATAACCTCTTAGTTTTTAAGAGTGGGCCAGAACTTGGAGGACACTTGTTCCCCTAGATATATATCTCTTGGAACTGGTCTGTCTCCTGGAACTGTGCTGATGGAACAGTTTTGCTGGAACCCTGTCTATGGCACTGTATCTGAAATCTAGCCCCATCCATAATTTTTTTCAAAATGGCTTCTCTAGCTTCAACTGGGGAAGTACAGTTTGGCCCCACCCTAATTTTCACAGACCATCCTGTCTTTTCATCCCTAGTTCTAGAATATTTCATTCATCCAAGGTCACACATCCTTCCCAATTTCCACTGCGCCACAGAGATGAGGTGTTGCCTTTCAGCACTTTGTGATGTGTTAATTCTCAAGCACACCCACATTCATTCATTATCTTTTGGGGTGGAGTACCAAATTGAGGTTGCCTGGGAAATAAGATCAGGTGCCAAGGTCACAAGATAGAGCACATGGTTTTGCTGGGGTTAATTAGAAGTCATTAGTCCAAATTATATCCATTAATAAAAGTCATTCCCAAACCAGAAGCTCACATCACACAAAACTATCACTGTACCAATAGCTCCAAGTTCTTGTTTCTTAATTCAGCAAATTCAAGAAATGAAAATAATGGACCCCAGAGGGTGAGTTAGCACCAGGGTAGCAGAAGTGGGTTCCAGGAGATGGGTACCCCCAAGCTCCTAGTCTAGGGGCTTTTTAAAGGCTTTATGGAAGAAACGGGTGAGGCACAGGGAAAGGTCAGTCCAGTTGACCCAACCACAAAGTGTCTAGGGTTTCAATCACATCTTCACATGCAGTTTCCAGTCAGGGGTGCTCATTTGGGGAAGAGAGATTAAGAGAAACCACCTGGGGAGCCAGAACTCCCTTCCAATATTTCTGGCCTTAGACCAGGATATTCCCAGGTTCTGGTCAAGGACAAGAATTAGAACTGTTCATTTTCAGGGTCTCTCCTGACCAGTGCCTATTACCTGTTCTTCTCACTGGAAGTGAGGACACTGTTTTGATCCAACAACCTGAAATCTGGGTTTAATCCTGGCTGTCTTGTTAAAGCACAAAGTGATCTTGAATAAGTCATTTAAATAGTAGAAAAGTTGGGGAGGATGCTTCTCTGTCCCTGTTTTTCTCCACAGTTCAATTTCTTTAGTTTTCTTATCTGTAAACAGAAAGTGATAATAATATCCATGCCAGGTTTATTGTAAGGATTAAGGTGGAGCAGAGATAGGTCTTAATATAGTTGTATAAGAACTCCATTAAAGTACATCTATTACATTTTATTATTACAATCATTGCATATTAGGATTGATACCAAAATGGCATAGAACTATAATCCAGTGAAATATACTATTTACTATTTCTCCCCACAAAATTAAGAGTTGCTCATTCACTTATCCATATATTAAAATAAATAATGGCCACTGGTTGCCCAAGGTCCAGGCACTGCAGTGTTGGGAGGAGGCAGCGATGAATGCTTTGGGTGGTCTGACTGGAAGGTGTTTACATCGCAGTGGAAGAAAAAGGCAAAGCAG